CAGCCTGATTTCTCGCATTTTGCGTACCCTGACGCGCCCTCTGACATCACTGCGCTGATATTTGCATATACATCACCTTTCTAGTGAGTTGGCTTTTCACTGTGCAGACCGCAAAAAGGTCTTTTCAGCAATGTTATGGTTGTATGTTGAAAAATATTGTTGCTTTTGCACGCTTGTATATATATATATATTAGAAAACGCACTTAGAGAAAAATTTCAAGTGAATCATGATTTACTTGATTCATAACGTGAGAAACTACTCTCAAACACTAACGATAGCTGATGAGACCTCCCCGAAAAAAATGTAAATACATATTTAAGTACTTCAAACTTTATTAGTTTATGATATTTTTAATATAATGATAGCAACTCAGAATTATTTTGACATTATATTTCCCGTTTTATACACAAAATTTCATTACAAATTTGATTTATAATTATAAAATAACAAAAATTCTAAAACTAATACAATATTTGACCTTGAATTTGAGAAACTTATGAATCAAAATCTGCTTCGGTTGAAGTAGTCGCAATTCTCAGAAAGTTCTCAAGGTGTTCAAATCAGACTCTAATTTCCTCTTACTATGCTTCTCTCTTGAAAATAGTTTTTCGTAATTGTACGTGCTGTCAAATATTGATGACATGAGAAATGTATGACTGTGCAGCGAGGAATATTTGTCTTCAGCGAGGTAGGTATGATTTATAAAAAGATCAACAAAGAGAATGATACTATGCTGCAGAGATTATGTCATGCGTAGGAACACAATGCTGAAGTACCAAACTGATTTTTCACCCGACATACTCACTTAACGTATCGTAATTCCACTAAAGATGTAACAAAATGTAGGCGAAAATTCCTCACGTATCTTGAAATAGCATCTGAGCACTCTGCACGACTTTAAACACACCTTAAAGCACTTGAAAATAGAACATCGTTGGAATATATTGCAGCTTGAAGACAAGAAACGCTGGGAATACTAGTCTTGATATCCTCACCTTGCCGAAAAATACTAAGAGCCTCAAACCACACGTACGTCCACTTTGAAAACTAGCCTCAAACGCCGATCGCAACAGCATAAGATGTATAATCGGCGTTTCGGGTGTTGATATTTCTTCTGCACTACGCTTTTTGGGCCCCACTAATACTTGCTTTAGTCCGCATGCGGCCTACGGGCTCGACATTCCTGTTCTAGAACGTACCAACTATTCAGAGCTATGAACTTTATCCTAGAGTTTGTGAAGTCAGCAATGAAATATTTAAACAAAGGAACCACGTTTAATAATATCGATGTTATTAATTGCGTAGTCCTTTGCCCCCACTTCTCTTTCTGCTATGAAAGTGTGCTTTACATAGTTCTGTTCATTGTTTAAAGATGTATATAGCTATATGAAATTCTGGGGTGCATAGCACACCCATAAATGACGATGTGTGAACGTGTTTATGTGTATCAAGGTTTATCTTGTTACGAAATAAATCTATATCGAACCAACCTTCATGACTGAAAGCTTCTCTTCTCCGTTATTTCGTCTCATGCAACTACGAAGCTGTTTTTTAAAATATATTAGAAAAAATATTACAAAAACATTATGTTAAAAAACAATAACAAAGCAGCGGTAAATGGAAAATTAGCCTAATTCGAATATCACCAGGGACTTTTCAAGAGAAATGCATATTTAGTGATAGTTTAAACTTTATTCTACATGCATATTAACTTTTAAGTTTGAATCAAGTTAAGCTTTCACATTTTTTCTAATTTTTTTATTAGTATTTCATACATATTGTGTTTTTACTTTTTGAATTACAATTGGATCTTTACTTTATGTTTAAACTACTTTGCAAAGGAACCGCAGTATCACTTTAGCTCATAGGCAATAGCTTGAAGAATTTACTTTTTTATATAGTATATATATATATATACATATACATATATATATATAATGAAGAAAAAAGACGTAGTAGCAATATTTATGGCGCAGCGAGTAGAATTCATAGAATCGATATTCAACATCGATATTCAAGAGGAAGAATTCTGATTGCGTTGTTTGCTAAAATGTTGAATCCGTAGTGATTAGGAAACTTGGCAGCTGAGTCATTTTAATTTCAATTAACATTTGTGGCCACAATTTACGGGGCACTCTAATCGTGCCTATTTCCAGAACATTTACATTTTTGATACTATTGCGATAGGAAGAGAGCATAGCGAAACAGCGTCCAAGCAGAAGCATCTGAAGTGCAAGCAGTCCAAGCAGTTGAAGGCGCATTTATCCAATATGGCAGTCTATTACGAAAAAGGTTTTGATTTAGTTTAGAAAGGTTTCAATTCTCAGAGTTTAGGTTCGGAATTAACTACATCATCAGTGTTACGCAAGCTATGTGACATCGATTAATTAAAAAAAGTCGCAGTCCAGAAAAGTTATTATTTTTAGAACACAGAGAGGAAACATCCAAATTAAAAATGAGGAATTATAAGTGTATTACTAAAATGAACTATAAAGCTGATTTACATATTTTTATCATACACACACAGACAAATAATTTTTACAAATAGTTTTGAATTAAAATGCATAAACACGAGGGTGTCGGGGGACAATTAATGGAGTAATTTATCAATTTTACTGCAGAAATTGCTTTTCACTCAAAATTGAATTAGCGAAAATGCTTAATCGGAATGAGTTCTTTGGTGCTCTGCATTGGTTCTTGATCCCTTCAATTAATGGAAATATTTGGCCTAGCTTGAATTGCAGGTTTGGCATCGCCTTATTACTTGAGTAAGGACGAAACACCTTCGTATTTATTTCTTAATTATTGTTCATTGAACTGGTTTGTTTCCCTTGAAAAGTCAACTAATTTCCGAACAATAGCAATGATTACTTACTTAATTTCTTTTTACAATTGAAATTATTTTATTCATGATTTAATTCAAGTCCCCGTTAAACATTTTTAACAATTTACATTCAAGTTACTTTAAAACAATTTTCGGAATTAAACTTACTAACTATGGATTTATTCTTTTAAGATAATTTTACTAAAATTAATCTTAGGAGATAATATAATCAATATTTATTAAATAAATTATTATTAACTTACTTTGCAGCAATTGCGCAAGTAGTAGAATAACTCTATTTCGCACTAAGTGAATTTAAGATCATACAACATTTATATATAGAGATATATAGACATTAAACATGAAATTCAATATCTTAAAAATCACTCTCATCAATAATCAAATTACACTCAATTTTATTAACTTATTTTTACGAAAATTACACATTAGGTAATTTTAATTTTAATTTTAATTTATTGTTACTTATGGATTTTAATGCCCTATAACTGCCGATTAACAAGAACGAGGCAATTAATTGCTATTTAAAACCTTGTTACTTCAATGCCGATGGACTGCGAAGATAATTTGAAATTTCTAGAGCCCAATTGCTTCATAAGATATCACCATACATAAAGTAATCAATTATTTGAGAAAATACAAAACTGATGTTCACGAAATTTATCTTCGGCCAAGCAAAAACTCAAGCTACAAGATTATAATGTCGTAAGAAATGATAGACAACATACCACTGTACTGATTATTAAAAAATTATATAAAGTGTTCAATTTATGAGCTCCCGCTTTCTGTTCAGATCGAGAACTCTGCAGCGATCATGTACAGTAGCACCAAGGAACAGTTCCTATTTATAGTAGTCTAAAAACTTCACAGAAACATCATCAATCGGCAAGATTTACTAAATCATAACCATCTCGGATCTCTCTAACATTATTGCAGGAGACTTCAATGTCAAACATCCTGAATGGAATACCTGCCATGGAAATTTTGAGTAGAAGGCCTCTGAAACATTTTGCTGATAATCTGACAATTCTAGGCGGCAGCTGCCTCACAAGATATTATCAAACATGTACAAGTGATATTCTGGACACTGTTATCATGAAACACGTTCATCAAACCCTTTTCTGGAAGATATCGAAGATGTTTTTTCTGATCCCGATCTCGTAAATTTTGACTTCTACGGACTCTATCCGTGTATAGAAAAATACAAAAATAGTTCAAATTGAAAAAATTTAAAATATCATGAAAAATATCAATAACACTATCCACCTTGATAACTACGGAGATATAGAAAACTCCATTTATCATCTCAGCAATAAAATCAACAATATTGTCAACATTTCTACAACTTCAGTTCCTATTATTAATGAACCCAGCAGTGGCAGAGAGATAAAGTCGCTAAGCACTGATAGTTCGGTCCAGGGTTGGAATCCCGGTGAACGCTCTGGCTGCATGGGTGTTTTCATGTTTTTCCATGTGTAACGTGTATGTTATGAACCAGTTTCCCCCTCCAAGAAGGCATCCCTCAGGCATATAGCCCTGGAATGCTTAAGCTTTACTTTAATCAAATAAACCAAAACCAAGCATTTCTTCATATTTAATAAATATTTTAAAAAACTTAAAAAAATTAATTTTTTTTGCATTTTTAAAACATTTTAATTATCTTAATTTTGAGTAAATTTTCTTTGAAAATTCTTCCGTTGTTCCTTGAAAAAAATCAAATTATCCTAAGCAATTTTTATAATTATTACATATTTTTTATCTTAAATCAGTATTTTTTAAATTTTATAGAATTGTTTTCGTAAATTGAATTGTGCATGTTTTTATTTTAATATGTGTATTTCCCACTAGGAAGTAGCTCATCTTTCGTAATTTGATTTCGATTTAATTATTATCTCTTGATTAATTAATTTTTGTAGCCTATGCGAGATTTTAATAATATATATCATATTAATTTGAGATTTCTCTATATATTTATATATGGACTGTAAATGCGAGAAACGAATTATACAAAAGAATTGTAGTTCATTTGCATCTTTACCTATCAAAGCATACAGTCAGTCCAGTGCTTGACTGATTTTTGTGAATATTGCTTTGAATAAAGTTACAGTTCCACGAATATCACAGTTAATGAAACAAATTTATGAAATTTTAACTTACTTCTGACTTTTCATAGTATTGCCGAAATTCATCTACTTTCGACTGTATGCATTTTGCCAATCTACACAAAATGACACCAGTGGATAGCTTTTGTATCAGATTGTCAGCATGAACGACGGTTACACCTATTAAAAAAATAATAAAATTTGTAGGAAGTAAATTTCAATGAAATAATTAAGAAGCCTTTTCTTAAACTTTACATCAGCAAATTTCATAGACTCACATTATAAGGTATTTCTCTCGCCTTCTTAGCATGCCCTCGTGATGAAGTGGTCAGAATACTCGGCGCGTATTCGAAAGGTCCGTGGTTCGAGTCCCGGCGAGGGCATTGCTTATTTTTCATGTTTCATAGTTTGTTTACCTGTTTCAGAATAAACTAACGTCTCTACAGTGGCGCCCGAACTAAAGAGAGTGTATATAAGGTATTTCCCCCACCTTCTTAGCATGTCTTCGTGGTGTAGTGGTGAGCACACTTGGCGCGTATTCGAGAGATCCGTGGTTCGAGCCCAGGCGAGGGCATTGCTTATTTTTCATGTCTTCTGCAAAATAATAACGTAATGTCTCTACAACATCCATCAAGAGATGAAATACTATACCTATTTGAAAATAACAAAATCATGCTTACAATCTTTGAAAATTCTGACAAAATATTGTAGTATTATATCCTTTTGTGATGCTGTTCCATGAATATTCTAGAAGTCGGAATGGATTCGGAATTAATTTCTATAAGTGTTAGTTATGCTTTTTTTATTCTTTAAAAGTTACTTTCTATGATATTACATCAATTTGTTTCCACTTGTAATTCATTACTTCCCCTTTACCACTTAAAAGTAATTTTAGGCTTTTTCATAACACGAAACATGTTTACATATTCATGAAATGCATTTTATATTTTGTTTCCAAAATATTTCTTGTATTGTGTTCTACTGAATTGCAGTTTTCTTTGAGAATTCACAAGGGGTTATAACTATTCATTCCTGTAATGTTAAGAAGTTTAATTTCATTTCATTATTTTAGGCAAATAGACTTTCCCCATTTTTAAATTTAAATCCTTAATTGATACATAATAACTACCTACTTTATTTTACAATGGCAGGATTTCACTGTACATAACACCTTAAAAAACAATGAATTACTAAAAAATTATTTATTTATTCATCGGCACAGATTGCAGCAGATTTTTCGAACGAATAAAATGTTTCTTTGCCAAGCGGGAAAAGAACGATGAAGGCAGATTTATACTAAACGAATGAAACCCAACGATATTTCCTTAGGGAAAAAAACAGGGTAAACCAAAAAATTAATGAATGCTTAAAACGAAAAAATCGAAAACGACCAGGGAAGGAAACTTCACGCACAAATTCCCTGGAGGAATTGAGACAATACGAATTGGAGGGGGGAATCAAAGAATAGGCGAAAATTCATCTAGAACAGAAGTTCTCAGCCCGTTTTCATTAGCGTATGTTTGTTTCATCATAGCTAGTGAAAACGCCCACTTTTGTTAACGAAAATACTTATCTATTTCTAGACTAGTGGTCTTATTATTAGTAACAATTGGTAATTGATTTTTATAATTAGTGTAGCTGAAACCGCGTAGAGAGTTTCCGAGTTCGCGAGGAACGGCGAGATCAAGTTACATTAATTAAGGATTCTGCTCCTTTTGACAAAATAACATAACAAGGGATAGGTTGTCAGCCTATTCAAATTTAAGGTTTAATGCATAGACCATGCTCAGCACAGCAGTTTGCTATTATTTTAACTTGTGCTTTGGTATCTTACCGCAATGGCCAGCCGTAGCTAAACGAATCTACATCTTCTCCAGATACACCTGAAATGCGATCAGAAAAAGGAAGGTATGTCAGCAGTAGCTGACTTAGTTAGCTTGATACGGGTATTGTGGAAAGGAAAGAAGACTCGGAAGTGATGGCATAACACCCCAATAGGCTGTTTGTTGAATACTTTAAACCGAAACTTCTTATAGCTGAGTTACTGAGTTTCCTGACTTTTGCGGAACAAAACCAAGAAAATATGAAAGCAACAATTCACTCGTGAGCGGAAGATGAAATTCTTTTGCGTATATATATATTACTTTTGTATATTGTTTTAAAAATATTACACATAGAAAAAAATTTTGAAATTATTGTTAAAATAACGTATTCAGTACTTGTTTCCTTAAATATTTTAATTTGTTAGATATAAGAAGTTTAAATATGATTTTAATGAAAATTAAACTAATTAGAATTTTCAGTTTACAACTTGACAATTGGCAGACCGGATTCGGTTACAAGGAAGTGGATAAGACAGGAGTTTTAATATGCTATCATTAAGACAAAAATTGTTTTCTGCATAAGAAAATAGTTCTTAATAGATATATCAGAGATTCAAAATTTTTTCTCTTTATGTTTTACTTTGAGCAAATCTTATTTTGCTTTGATTTTATTTTGCGAAAGTTTTATAACTAAAGCTTTTTAATTTGTAATAAAATTTATTTGGAAACTAAACACATTTAGGAACTTAAATTTCTCGTTTAAAAACTCGTACTATAATGAGATTTGAAGAAAATGACATCAAATAAAGATAACAAGCTCAAATTAATGATAAAAACTGCTTAGCTTTAAAGTTTGAAACTAATGTCGTGAGTTAGAGAAAGTGAGATCCTTATAAATTTCAAATTTGAATGCAATATCCCGTTAAGTTTAATTATTCAGAGATTTGACTATGATAACCTCAAATTCAGCAAATCTTTGATTAATGTGAAAGAAATGTTCACCAAAAGGAAATCTAGAAAAATCCTTTTCGAAGTAAGTAAGTTTGAAAAAACAAGAAAATGACCGTTTAGAGGATTTTACACTGAAGTCTAACACATCAAAAGGAAGAGTTTACAATTAAAAGAATAAAACAATATTAAAAATATTTTAAAAAGGAAAACGTCGTAGAAATTTAAAAAATATAAATGATTCTTCACTTAACATATGGCATTAGAAACATTTTTTATTAATGACAATAACACTGCAAATGTTCATAAAAATTTACAGTTAGGTAAATCATAAATTAAATGTATTTTAATTTTTACAGTTAAATACATAACTAAAAATGCAATATAAGGATTTATATTATTAAGAAGAGAGTTTATTGGTTTTTAAGTGTCTCTGTCTGTTAACCAATAACAAATTATTTAAATTGTCTTTTAAATTCTCAAATGGTTTTAAGATTGCTATGTGAGGAAGCACAGGGAAATTTAAGGTCTTACGTTTTGCACAATAGCAATTATTGCCAACAATTGCTTTTAGATTCTTTTCACTACTCTTGTCAATCATTTTCTAAGGTGTCAACATCAGAAGGATTATTCTAGTAAGTTTTGCGATTTTTTTTAGTTCTAGTATGTTTATCTTTATATCTGGCGCATTTTTCTTATCGAATACTGATCAAAATAATAATTAATTAATTAAAAAATAACATGAACATTAGACATATGAATTTAAGTTTTACCTTTAAGTAGGAAGCGGTATTTAACAAGCCAAATAATTTTGAATTGCAATATAAAATCCTTTAATCGGGGCTTAGTTTCTCTTTTTATCGTTAATCCTACCAAAATGGCAATTTCAAATTTATATTCCTATGGCAATAAATATCACCATAATCTTCCAGTCTTTTTGATAAAAATTATAATGAAAATGACGATGAAAAATTGTTTTACAAAATCTTAACTATGATATATTATAATAACAATATCTTATAATACAGTATCATAACAAACATGATATCTTAATGATGGAAATATCTTAATATTAATAATATCTTAATAAATAACAGCAAATGAAGAGATAAATCCAGCAGCAATGCTCAATTTTTAGATATAAGAAAAAGGCGAGAGGAGGACCTTTCTAAAATAAGTTTAAAAGAAAGATGAGTTCCAGACAGAGACAATGAGGTACTTTAGGATCTACGTTGGGTTTTTAATCAAATTTTCAAACGGATAAATTTTAAAAATCCTGTAAAAGTTTATGCGATGCTGAATTTTAGAATCAGACTCTCTTCATATTAAAACGCGTTTAAAATTTCCGTAATATATTATTAAGGTAAATGGCTGTGAAGATCTTAAAAGAAAGTATATAGAAGAGCTGAAAAAATTCAAGAATTCACAGTTTTTTTTCACAAATTTCTGAAATGAAAAGTACTGTAGGAGAGCTAATGTATCGCAATTTAACATTAGTTAAAGCTTGTTTTATGTGCATTGAGTTAAGCCTCCCACACTCATCAGCAGGAAGTGAAAGTATACTTCCAACAAGTATATTATAAATTTTCCAACAAGTATTTTTAAAAAGTATATTTCCAACAGTGGAAATTAATGAAAACAAAATAAAATTCATCTGCGGACTCTCTTAAAGAATCACTTTTTTGACAACGGAAAAATTAAAGCACCCCGCAGCAGCAGATTTTACTATCTCTTATAATAAATTAATTTAACAAAATCTTCCAAAAGTAATGAAAAATCAACACTTGTAATGTTTTTCTTGTATGTAGATGACAACAATGAAGTGTCTTGACTTTTGCCATATACTTACCAAATATTAATCAAATAATTTAATATTTAAGTTCCTATATAATAAAAAAGATAGTAATATTGAGAAATGCCTAAGAAAGTGAAATTGAAGCAAGCATAATGTTTATTTCTATAAGTATTTTTATTAGACATAGTTATTCTGAAGTACACTACAGATTGTATTTTGCCAAGACAGGTATTTCATATGTCAAATTAAAACAATACATATGTAAAAATATTAAATTTTTTATTCGCTTTAATATTTTTTTGTACTCTGCATGTACCTTGTATGTATGCTTCTAATATGTGAATGGATGATTATTCATAGGGGCTTTTGTTTTGATGATTATATTTGTAAATATGCAATTATTATATCTTGCTTCTATTTACTTATCATTTTTCATGAAATAAAAGTGTAGATATATGGGTCAGATGAAAAGACATAGAACCATACTGCATTTTTCATAGATTTGGTTTCTTTATTACTGAAGAGAAAAGGAAAAGACCTGCTCTTAAAATAGTGGGAAACGTTAACTTGAATATTTGTTTTTCTAGCTTGTAAATTCTCTTTCAAATGCCGGACAAATTCAATTTAAATTGAATTAACAAACAAAATACATGACATTCTGTCAATTTATTTTTTTTATGAAGAGTTATAAATCTATTTCGGTGAATAATTTCCCTAAACTCAGTTTCTTTATGAGAAGAAAAGAATGGATTGCATTATTATTTAAAGTAATTTAAACTTTAAATACATGAGCACTTCTTACAATAGCCTTCAACTTTTCAAAAATCGTATTTTGTTTGCTATTTTTTTTAAAGCCAATTTTTAATTTAAGTTTGAAGGCTTCTCGATTTCGAATATTTGAAATGCTGTTAAATATTAGATGACTCTGAAATATTGTTAAATATTTATTATTCAAAATTTATATTAACTGTGGGATGTAATATTTTATTGTAAGTTTTAGCTGCGGTATTAAAAGTGAAATTCTATTACACTATTTATGCTCATTTCAAATGCTAGAATTCAAAAACAATTTTAATCAAAGGTTTTGTTTATTGAATAAAAGCTTAATTCAAATTTTATCGCTTTTAATTCCACAGGTTTCATATTTAAAATATATTTTAGTTCAATCTATGATAATGATTAGGAAAACCAGGAAATAGCTTAAAATTTAATAGCTTTTACTCGGGCTTCCTTTTTAGTTATTGAAGAGGCTTTGTGTTAGCATTTACGAAACATGCGATTTACATTTATATTCTGATAAATTAACCTAATTTACCGAATATCTAAATCTATACAACATAGAAAGTTTTATAGTTAATAAGTGAAAGTTTTACAAAGAATATTTTAAATCTGTAATACAAAGCCTGGATCAGTAAAGTAAAAAGATTTAAAATTCTGGAATATTTTACTTATCAAATATTAATGTTCTCAACTGTAATTTGCACTAAACGTTTGAGTATTTTGAAAAAAAAAATACTTACTTTAGAAGTAAGTATTTTTTTTACTTACTTTAGAAAAAATGGGAAAATAAATAATCATGATAAATATGAATAAAGCCTGTTCTCTTATTTATTACACTATTAATTAAGGAGATGAATCATCAAGATAAGCATTTCCATTAAATCTAATTTTACAAAAAAATGCGAAACATTGGAATGTTTAGCAATGAAAAGAACACTGTACTATTTTCTTTTTCAAACTATAATGGGTTTCGCTGCTTAAGATTTGAAAACAGCCTCTTGAAAATATTGCAACTAAAAAAGTAAGATAATTTCTTTTGTAACTTAATTTGAATAATTTTTGAATGAACTGCACATGGCTAATTATACGAATGCATCATTCGGACAATAATATTATGTTTGAAAATATTTTGAATAAATTTTAACTTTTCATTTAAACTTTATTCGTTAAATCTCAGAAGGAAGTAACACCCGTCTGTAATTAGAAACCTTTCATAGTATTCCATAAATAATCATAGGTTTCCCTGCATTTTGTTAATGTTTGGGGTAAAATGTTTTATGATTTCAAAATAATTTTTAATTTATTCATTTTTTTCAATACATAACGTGTATTGAAATCTTTGATGAAAATGTTTTGTACATTGGCAGTTTAGCTAATTTAAGGAAACTGTGTTTGTAGAAAAAAAAGTTGAATTAGTGGAACATAGCTATTTAGATATTATATAGGAATTCTGACGTATTCTCGAAATAAAGGAAAATTCAATTTTTCATTATTCTGCAAATGATATATGAGGATGATTGATTTTCATTATAAAATAAATATTTATTTCTAAAGGAGGACAATAGTAAAAAATCTGATGTGTACACCACATGACTTCCTTGTACGGAATATTAAATTATACGCATTTTTTTCTTGAATTTCATTTAAATTGATTGGATTGAATTAAATCTAGTTCATCGACAGCGCATAAACCACAATAGAATAAATGCATTCTTTAAAATTCACTATATTTGTTGACTATAAGGACACTCTGAATGCACAAAATTTATATCATTTGAAGAATTATCTAATCGTTGCCACATATTCTATTACAAATACTATAATAAAACTAGAACGATGTATAAAAGAAATTAAGCAAAGCAAAAAAACAAAAATTAAATGTTTTTCACAGACGATTTCAGTAGTTTCTCATTCAATTAATTCAGTTGTCACTTCGCGACAAGGCAAAAATACATAAAAACTCAAAATATCTGTATTAAAAATTACGAAGTAAATCTTAAACACTTATTTCCTCGAAAAAATTCCAGAAAGGATTAAGCATGATTTAATTAGCAATAATAAATGAAGGCGTTATTTTTGTTGTTGCAAAGCTCTAGATTGGCAACAAATCTACAATTCTGCTATTTCAAATGTAAACAAATATGTCCGCCGTGTTATTTAAAACTTAACCGCACTTAAACAACTTTTAAATTGTTGATATTTGTACAAATATTGCTTCCAGAATTACGAAAGGCATAAAACCCTTAACCGGAAGATAAGAACAACATAATTCAATCTTTTTTAAAGCAAAAAATGTACAATTTACAAACATATAAGAGTAAAGAAACTGAGATCACTGTGCCGAGTAACAAAGTGGATATATATATAAATATAGTATTTATATACGTTTGGTGCGGCTGTTTGCAACCAAAATACGGGGTGCACATCTACATGTTACAGCAGTCCTATATACAAAATTTCAACGTTCTGAGGCTACTCGTTTTCGAGTTATGCGAGATATGTACGTACGCACGTATGTACATACGTTCGTACAGACGCCACGAAAAATTCTCTTCAGAATTAATTTTAAAGCAGTTTTATAATTTTTTTGGAGGAAACGAAGCTTTTATTCTGTCCTTACGTACAGATATCACACAAAACCATCGTTAAATTCCATTCGATAGCGGTCAAAATGGATATTTTCGTTGAAGTATGCTGCCTGAAACTTTTACATACTTCCTTTTTACTTCATACAATGAAGTAAAAAGAAGCTAAACCCATGGACGGAAAACTGGAGTTCATTAGCTTTCGAAATCACAAATTCGTACGTAATATTTTCTGATATGTTACATCATTAAAAGTTGTTGCAGGATACTAGAATTTATTGCCATGCGACATTAACGTTTTACTTTTGATCTCAAAAATCCATTATAATGTATTTTCCCGATGTAAATAGATTTATTTATGGTGAGCACTGTCTAATTTTGCTTTTGATAGTTGTTATCTTGTATCAGAGAAGTCTGAAATTTCTAAATTGGCTATTTTTTATAGGAATGCTTTTATGGACAAGTACATACATACTTTGGCCACCAAGATAATTTACGTTTTTCCAAATTCTTAATATATTCCTGTCTTCGAATTGCTAAATTAGTAACCCCTATCGTGATTGACGATGAATAATTTAAAAAAAGTTTTGAATATGCAATGGAAAAAATTTTCTTTTATATCTGTTATTCAAATAAAAATATTAAAATTTCAGAATTTAATACTTCGATCTAAAATTTAAAATTTGGGCCTCACTTACCTAAAGTGTTATTAATCCATGCGGCTAAAGAGCGCTTTTGCGCTTTAATAATTTCTTTCTCTTTGCCGTAAATAATCATATTTTCCATAAGTGGAGGCTCTAGATATCCAGCCTTTTCTTATACGAACTCTTATTTATTTCATTCTGAAGGCAAGACTTGTCAAGTAACCGCTGGAGGACAAATGTGTATCATAAGGGGATCGACAAGCACTCCAAGTTGAAGGTGAATACGAAATCAAGAACTAAGCTATTGGGCTAATGAAAGCACGCGATGTTCCCATGGCAGCAATTAGACGGCTCTCTTTCATTGCCGAATTTCTGCTCATTGTGTTGGTGTTGAAAGTGAGTGGTCAGGGTGAGAATGGATTGTCCGCATCGTTTCCGGCTATTGAGTCATCGTGTTTTGGTCTGTGTACGCCAGAGGGTGGGGCATCATTTCGGGGCGACCTTTGTACTGCAAGAGGATGTTCATGGACCAGCGATTGTCGGGGCTTTCGCTATCCTGGCTTTTGCTTGCGTAAGGTGTTGGCATTCACGGTCACATAGTTTTTATTTCAGGATTATTTCGCTTTTATGTGGATTATCACGCGGGCTTAAAAATATCGCTTTCTGTTCCGATATATATTTTTGCGTGTGGCCTTTGGGTTGGTCTTGAAGTTCAGTAACCTTTCTAGAAATTGAGAGGAAGCTTAATTCATTCCCGTCAGATATTGGCTCAGCAAACCGCTTACGGTGATTACTTGAATAGATGTAAAGCCCACCCAGCATTTTTTTTTTTTTTTTCATTTTGAATGGAAAAACCTTTTTGAATGAAAGGATTTAAATCTATCATTCCGCGTTTTGAAATTATTGGGATATTTCACTTCTGCTAACTGTAGAGAATCAACGCAGGTAACTAGTGAATAAGCAAAGAAAATATAATATAATTCCCAATGGAATTTAAATTTCATGTCTGAGGCTGAGCACCTTAATCCAGGATGATGCAGATCTGATATGTTACAACATTGGTATTATTGTTCGTTGTCGGTTTCTGATGAAAAATGCTTTTGCTTACCCTAATAAAGGGTTATTGACGAACAAGTAGACAATAAGACCATGCCTGAAAAATTCTTTTAAACATTAAAAAAATACTTACACTTTCGCAATACTGTAGAATATTATAGACCAGGGGTTCTCTACCGGTGGTACGCAAGAGAAAATAGGCGGCACGCAAGGAAGTAAAGTATTTTTAACTATAAAATTTCAAAAATTGAAATTCCAACATCCTGCGAGTTTTTTTTTTTCTAACACTCGTAAATTTATGCGATCTGAGCTTTGTTCGAGAGTGGTGGTGGTAGTAGTACTTTCTAGCGGTGGTGCTAAAGGTTTTCACTTTTTGCTTCGATGGTACGCGTTAGTCAAAAGGTTGAGAACCGTTGAGACCATTCATTTTTACAAGATTTTACCAAACCAAATCAGATGATCTTTCATGTATTCGGGTTCAACATAAGGAGCTAAATATTGTAGTATTGTATTTTTATTTGAAAGAATTTGTTCACTTCCACGCCTGTCGAATTAATTTCTACCTTTTCGTTGCCCCTGCGTTGGCGACACGCTTTTGAGATTTGTCGTTCGTAGGATTCGGTCGCTAAAAGCGTAGCTGACCTATAACTGTTGTAATTCTTATTTTATGCTTATCTGTACTCCTGAATTATTACTAAATGTTTACGTGTGAATGTTATATTATTAAATGTATTCAGTTTGGTTGAAATAGACCGAGAGGGACTGAATTTATTAAGTATGTTTAAAGTCGAAACTGCGTCATCCATATCGGCGCCATTCTAATACGAGGTACGTAAACAGAATTAGACAAAACATAAGTTACAAATTTATCTGTTCGAGAATTCTAAAATATTTTAATTACTATTATGAGAGAAGAAGCTAACAATTTAGTTAACTTAATCAACAACCGCTCCAAAATAAAAGGTATGCTACGAAGGTATGCGGGAGAAATACCTTATATATTCTCCCACTTTTAAAGGGCGTCTGGGGATTAGGGGACCCAATCGCCGAATCCTGGTGGTGGAGAATCATCATCCACCACCTTTTTTTAGTTCGGACGCTACTGTAGAGTCATCAGGTTATTTTGAAAGCAGGAGAGTTGGAAAATGAGCAATGCCCTCGCCGGGACTAGAACCTTGAACCTCTCGAATGCTGACCATTACACCATGAAGGTATGCAGAAAGGAAGGAAAATACCTTACATGTTGAGCAAGTTTGAAGGGAAAGTTGAACTCTAAGTCCAAGTACAACAGAAGAAACGCTTTAAAATAGGATACGCGAATCAAAAAACGTTCGAAAATTATGTTCATATGCATCTTTCTGTTACTGTTTAATAATACTCGTAATCCACTTTTAATTATTTCTGCTTCTCCACAACCATACCTGCCTCCCGATGCTTCACACACCATAATTTAAATGATTGCAGAATTATATAACACAAAGTACTGAGTTTATGTAAACTTCTTTTTTACTTAAAAAATTAAAATAAACTTAAAAAATTTAAATAACTAGCAGTTATACAGACCCGAAATATAATTTACTGTAAGCATCAGTTTAATTCTATTAACGAATGACAGCACAGTGTCTAACTTATGTATTTATGCGAAGTAATCCCAATGTACTTATCACGGGCTAGTCAAATGTAAGTTAAGAGTTGGTTAATGGCTCTTTACGAGAGTTTAATATTTCTCAGAAGGTCTTCTAAAGATAGTAGGGTAAACACGACTGCTAAAGGATAGACACTATGTAATCAAGACAGTAAAATAAAAACCAAATCACACTATAATTTAATAAAGGAAAAATCAAATCATATTTTAAATAAATCATAATTGCCTATTTCTCTTCTCGCACATTTTTGTTCGGTCAGTAATTTGTGTTTGTCCTTACTTGTCTAGAGAAAGCAAAAATAAAGAAGAAATAGAATGCTAGAAAACTAATTTAGAACAGGAAATTAAAAAATTAATAAAAACGAACTTTTAAATATTGAGATACTTGTAAGAACTGGTAAATAATTTTATTGCGTATTTCATTCAATATTTACGTTCTAAGGACTTTTAACATTTATACTTTTTAATTCTCGACTGAAAACAAATTTAGAGTAAGTAATGCCTTTTACGTTAATATTTATTCAGATAAAAAAGTTAATTTCTTTCTCTTTTTTTTTTTTTTTTTTTTTTTTTTTTTTTTTTTACTTACGGTAACCCTGACATTATAAATATATCCTGGTTTTGATCCTTCTTTCTTTAAATAACGTTAATACGTGTGGGGAATCAGTCACAAATCATGGTGAAATTGACTACTTTCTTCTGTTATCGTGGTGTTGTTGTGCATCATGAAATTCTAATAAATGATCAGACTTTTAAAAGAATATTATTTGAATATTTTGCAACGTTTCTGTCAAGTAATTTGCAGAAAAACACCTAAATTGCGGCGAGATAACTCACAGATTTCGCATTACTATAATGCACCAGTTCGTTTTGCTTTTGGTGTTTGAGAACTTAAGGCCCAACATTCTATAAATACTCGAGTTTCACATTCATCTGATATGGAACAACAGGATTTGTTTTTATTTCCAATGTTAAAATTACAATTAATTGTTTAACACTTTCAGTCTATTGATGCAAAAAAGAAAATTCGCTATGAAAACTATTTTAAGCCATGTTCTGAGTATTGGAAAATATGTTGGCACAAGTGCATGGCAGTTAGATGAATCTGAGAATGTAATAAATATGGACAAATAAATTGTAATCTAATGCTTTAATAAATCATTTCTGATTCTTTTTGATGAGAGTAATACAGTCAGATCGTTCACAACTTTGAATTTGCCTCCAAATGCCCAAAACGTAAAGCCAGTGAAACATGGATAGTTTGCCTTGTGTTTAGTCATAATACCTGTACTACGAACTGGCTTCGAGATTGTTTTGAGGTTTTCTCCATTTGCAGCGCAAACACAGGCCAGGTTCCTTTAGACTAGGGATGTCAAACTCATAGGTACACTTGGGCCAAACAAACAAGGTTTAACTTTAGGCGGGCCGAAAAAAAAAAAAAAAAAAAAAAAAATCAATATTTATAGAAACGCAGATTTATTTCGAATAATACAATAATAAACATATATATATATTTATATAGAAAAGAACAAGAAAAATTTAATGTTTACGTCCTGATACTTGACATCTCTTCTCTGCTATTATCTTTCCTATTTCGGGAGAAATTTTGTTTGCAGTGATAACTTTCAACGCTGACCCAAGGTGAGCATCATTAATACGGTTTCTAATAGGAGACTTATTACCTTTCATGACTGAAAATAACTGCTCGCACCGATAAGTGCTACCAAACATGGAAATAATTTCATATGCGAATTTTCGAGTATTTTCAAACCTGGCTGGTAAATATTTGTAAAATTCAGGCACGCCACACTTCAATGAATTTTGCTTTCAAATTTGAGTTGCATTGAATCTCGATCACCTCCATTTGCATATGGCTGGGTACTGAGTCAATACTTATTGAGAAAATCGAAGGAAAAAAAAAAAAAAAAAATTGTCTTCGAGTGAACTAAAATCATTAAACCTCGTTTCAAATTCAGTTGTTAAATTTGCAATTTTTTCTGCGTATTTTTTATATGAACAAGTATCATATAAACTTGATTTGTTCATGCTGCACGTCGGGAAGTGCGTCAAATCTTCATTTTTAAGTTGTTTTTCTCAAAGAACTAGTTGACATTTGAATGCTTTAATTATGTCAAACATGTTCGTAATGATATGATCTTTTCCTTGTAACGATAAATTTAAATCGGTTAAGTGTTTGGTTATATCAACCAAGAAAGATAAATCTTGTATCCATATTGGATCGTAAAACAAACTTACGTCTTGATTTTTCGTTTTTAAAAACTGACATATTTCTTCTTTCAAATCCCAGAATTGTTTGAGAATCTTGGAGCAAGATAACCAACGTACCTCGGTATAGTAGGACAAACCCGAATATTCACTATCTAACTCACTTAAGAAAAGCAGTGAATTGACGCTGATTTTTAAACCTCGAGATCTTATAAAATTTATAACTTTTTTTATATATGACAAAACTTTCTCCATTTATTACTTTCGTGCATAGAACTTCTTGATGTATAATACAATGCATATGATGAATGTTTGAACCGTGAATTTCACTAAGTTTTTTTCTTAGTAATGCTACGAAGCCCTTGTTTTTCCCGGTCATTGATGGAGCGCCATCTGTAGCTACAGAATTTAATTTTGCCAAAGGTAGATTGTATTTCTGCAGAAGTCCAAAAACACAAG